ACACACACACACACACACACACACACACACACACACACACACAGACAGCTAATGGGTTCAGGTACGTAACAAAAAGTACCGTGTTTACCCTGTGTTTCGGTGCGCTGTCAGCTGTACCGCTTTGACTTCATATATTTACAATATAAATAATTGAAATATTAAGTCAGTATAATTTTAACAACTCGTGCACATGTTGGTTCATGGTCACATGACATGGAGGTTAACACTAAAAAGATTTAAGGGAGTTTTTAGTGAGTTTAATTTGGATAGTTTTTATTTTAGAAGTATTTTAATAATTTCTAATTATAAAAAATGATTCATACATTGTTATTTATCATTTATAAGTATATCTTGATTTTAATTTAGCATTGTTATGGTTTAATTATTATGAAATATTTACATGTTGTTATTATTATTATTATTAATTGTCAGGTTGAAAATGCAGTTTATAACTGCTCCAACTAATATTTAGTAGGAGGTTTTGAATTCTGAAAGTTACTTTTTTAACATTTATTTTTACTGTAGTTTAGTGTCTAGAGATTTTTAGATTGTTTGAGGAACATTAGATGTCAGAGTTGTTGTGCAGTTGTTTTTAGACAAATCACATGCACTGTATAAAGGATTTCTCAAAGATTATTGGAGTATGTTTTACTAGAAACTAGATACTATTTGAGTTTTTCTACTTCCAAATTTCACATTTAAATCAGTGTGTTACTTGCCATTTCTTTATAATTAATTGTGAAATTTCATAGCAAAATGATTTTTCTGGGCGTGTGTGTTGTCCAGTGATTAGAGGCTTGTTTTATTTGTATGTGTGTGTCTGTGATGTTCACCGCTGATGTTTTTTCTCTGTCCAGGTGTCGTCCTTGTGTCAGAATAGCTCCAGCGTTCAACATGTTGAGCAACAAATATCCTCAGGCTGTGTTTCTGGAAGTCGACGTCCATGTTTGTCAGGTGAGAGAGCGCTCGTTATTTAGAGCTACGCATTCTTACAGATTTGCACTGTTCCAAAATACAATCTGTAATTTGACATCAACTGTCAAAATATTATAACGCAGAACAGGCTACGACTTGAAACGAAACTAAAACGATAACAATTTTGTTAATAGAAATACAACAAACGTTAACTGAGATGAAATTAAATATTTTAAAAAATATATATAAAATATATGAAAGAAATTAATCTTCACCTAATTTGTTATTCCAAAATGAACAACCTTTTAAAAATTGCTTGTATATCTCTTGTTAAGCTATGTTATTATCAAATATTGAGAGAGAGAGAAAAAAAAGCATTGTTTGTGGATAATTTTGTCATTGTTCACTCAAAGACTGCATCAACCGTCAATTAGATCCAAAAAAGAAATACAAAACCTGTGCTAACTGGCAGAAAACAAGTCGACAAAAAGATTGAATCCAATATTTGCTCATAATATTGCATAACACACACACACACACACACACACAGACACACACAGACAGCTAATATGGGTTCAGGTACGTAACAAAAAGTACCGTGTTTACCCTGTGTTTCGGTGCGGTGTCAGCTGTACCGCTTTGACTTCATATATTTACAATATAAATAATTGAAATATTAAGTCAGTATAATTTTAACAACTCGTGCACATGTTGGTTCATGGTCACATGACATGGAGGTTAACACTAAAAATATTTAAGGGAGTTTTTAGTGAGTTTAATTTGGATAGTTTTTATTTTAGAAGTATTTTAATAATTTCTAATTATAAAAAATGATTCATACATTGTTATTTATCATTTATAAGTATATCTTGATTTTAATTTAGCATTGTTATGGTTTAATTATTATGAAATATTTACATGTTGTTATTATTATTATTATTAATTGTCAGGTTGAAAATGCAGTTTATAACTGCTCCAACTAATATTTAGTAGGAGGTTTTGAATTCTGAAAGTTACTTTTTTAACATTTATTTTTACTGTAGTTTAGTGTCTAGAGATGTTGTTTTTAGATTGTTTGAGGAACATTAGATGTCAGAGTTGTTGTGCAGTTGTTTTTAGACAAATCACATGCACTGTATAAAGGATTTCTCAAAGATTATTGGAGTATGTTTTACTAGAAACTAGATACTATTTGAGTTTTTCTACTTCCAAATTTCACATTTAAATCAGTGTGTTACTTGCCATTTCTTTATAATTAATTGTGAAATTTCATAGCAAAATGATTTTTCTGGGCGTGTGTGTTGTCCAGTGATTAGAGGCTTGTTTTATTTGTATGTGTGTGTCTGTGATGTTCACCGCTGATGTTTTTTCTCTGTCCAGGTGTCGTCCTTGTGTCAGAATAGCTCCAGCGTTCAACATGTTGAGCAACAAATATCCTCAGGCTGTGTTTCTGGAAGTCGACGTCCATGTTTGTCAGGTGAGAGAGCGCTCGTTATTTAGAGCTACGCATTCTTACAGATTTGCACTGTTCCAAAATACAATCTGTAATTTGACATCAACTGTCAAAATATTATAACGCAGAACAGGCTACGACTTGAAACGAAACTAAAACGATAACAATTTTGTTAATAGAAATACAACAAACGTTAACTGAGATGAAATTAAATATTTTAAAAAATATATATAAAATATATGAAAGAAATTAATCTTCACCTAATTTGTTATTCCAAAATGAACAACCTTTTAAAAATTGCTTGTATATCTCTTGTTAAGCTATGTTATTATCAAATATTGAGAGAGAGAGAAAAAAAAGCATTGTTTGTGGATAATTTTGTCATTGTTCACTCAAAGACTGCATCAACCGTCAATTAGATCCAAAAAAGAAATACAAAACCTGTGCTAACTGGCAGAAAACAAGTCGACAAAAAGATTGAATCCAATATTTGCTCATAATATTGCATAACGAGAGATTTACTCCCAATTTATAGGCCGGCCATTTTTGACTGGGAACATCACAAGTGTAACAGATTGGGGAACCCCCCCCAAATACAAACATTATCTGTTTTTTAGTAAAAAAAAAAAAAAGTCAGTAATTTTTACTTCAATGTGATAACAGTAACTAGCATGCTCAAGGGTCAAAATGACTGAAGCCAGTTGCCAAACCGACATGTCTCATTTTCATTTAGTTGATTTTGATGCACTAAAACAGTGTTTCCCAACCGGGGTGCCGTCTGTCGAGAGCAGGGGTGCCGTGTAAAAATGCACTAAAATACCTAAAGCTGAAACTGTGAAACTATATAGATGTAGTTAAAAAATACAGATAAAAATTGAATAAAACCGGATGAAAATGACAAAATAAGAACTAACTCAAAACTGTAGTAGTATCTCAGTGACACTCAAATGAAATAATGTTTTATTTTGCGTCCCTTAGGCAACAGCTGCAGCCAATAATATCTCAGCGACGCCGACGTTCCTGTTCTTCCGAAACAAAGTGCGTGTGGACCAGTATCAGGGCGCGGACGCTTCCGGCCTGGAGGAGAAGATCAAGCAGCATGTGGAGAACGATCCCAGCAGCAACGAGGACTCGGATATTCCCAAAGGATATGTGAGGAAACGCCGTCTGTACTGTGTGTGTGTGTGTGTGTGTGTGTGTATATATAATCGTGTCCTGTGTGTGAGTGTGTGTATATAATCGTGTCCTGTGTGTGTGTGTGTGTGTGCGGGGGAGAGT